CTCCTCTGGACATGTCCACACCACTGTCCCTCCTCTGGACATGTCCACACCACTGTCCCTCCTCTGAACATGTCCACCCCACTGTCCCTCCTCTGGACACGTCCACCCCACTGTCCCTCCTCTGGACTGTCTCATTTCATGAGCAGCACGTGCATAAACCGGTGTTTATCATGTTAGCTCCTCCTTCCGCTCATGATGCCCCGCCCCCTTCAGCCAGTAGCAGGGCTTGGCTGCAGGAAGTGTGGGAGTACTGGGAGTACTGGGAGTACCGGGGAGCGGTCTCGTCGCTCTGGATCAGTAAACAGGTTCGGGTTCAGGCTGAAACCGGTCCAGGAGCTGACAGAACGGATTTAAATGCAGGGGGTCTCATACTGCGCCAGGTCCAAGTCGAGAGTCCGGTTCGGTCCGGTCCAGTCTGTGAGGAGGAACCGGACACAGATGGCGGTCCGGTCCCACACGGATCTCGGCTCGGCCGGCCTCCGAGGCTGCTGACACCGGCCGGAGGTCCAAACCCAGAGTCCCCAGCCGGGGACGATGGTGGTTCGGCCCGGATCATCATGGCCAACGGAACCGGTACCATCATGCTGAAATGCGTCGTGGTGGGAGACGGAGCCGTGGGCAAGACATGTCTCCTCATGAGCTACGCCAACGACGCGTTTCCAGAGGACTATGTCCCCACCGTGTTTGACCACTATGCAGGTGAGGACATGTCCACTATGCAGGTGAGGACATGTCCACTATAGAGGTAATGATATGTCCCCTATACAGACTAGGACAGGTCCCCTGTACATGTGAGGACATGTCCATTATACAGGTGAGGACAGGTCCCCTATACAGGTAAAAACATCAGGAGGGACATCCAGACTTGTCTCTGTCTCTAGTTTCTCTGAAACTGTTGCTACAGTTGCAACTACTTGTTTATCCTCTGCAGGGTGGTGTCCTTGAGACACCACTGTCCTTGTCCCCGTCCTCAGCTGGTGTTTGTGTCTTCTTGCAGTGAGCGTGAACGTTGGAGGGAAGCAGTACCTGCTGGGACTCTACGACACGGCGGGTCAGGTACCGTTAAAGTTCTAGTCCTCCACTCTGGTCTATGTCTGTCCTCTCTTTAGTCCTGGGACCAATGTTTGTCCAACTGTCTCTGAGCAGGTCCAGGGCTCTGCAGAGGACAGTCCAGCTGGGGGGTCAGTGGTTTTGTTCTGTGGTGACCAGGTGTCCTGTGTCCTCCAGTGATGTCACAGATTTAGCTGCTAAATGCTGGACTTGACCTTCCCTTGAAAAGTCTATGGATGATCTCAGAAGGTCAGTTGAAGGTCAGTTGAAGGTCAGTTGAAGGTCAGTTGAAGGTCTTTCAGCTGAGGAACAAGACAGAACGGTGAAGAGAGGTGATTCTGCACAAGAGAAATCAAGTGGTTGAATTGTCACGTGAACCTCTGCCTGCGTGGTTTGCTCGAGGCAGAGGGAGAAGATGTGAGGATGAAAGTGATGGACATCTGCCAAAACAGAGCTCCATGCTACAAAGAAAAGTGACTGAGTCCGTGCACAAAATGCAGCCATGGCTCAGCGTCATACGCACGATCTTCTCATCCAGTTGTCCATGAGGCACTACAGGCGTGCAGCATGGAAGATGGAGGACCTGCTGACACACACAGAGGAACCTGAACTTCATGGAGGACCTGCTGAGACACACAGAGGAACCTGAACTTCATGGAGGACCTGCTGACACACACAGGAACCTGAACTTCATGGAGGACCTGCTGACACACACAGGAACCTGAACTTCATGGACGACC